ATAAAATTCCCCTCAATGGATGTCAATCGGACTGAAAAGCCAATATGTGCCTGAAACACATGGGTGTGTCTGGTTTGGGACCCCGGGTTTTGGTTGGTTTCAAACAGAAACCAAACTTTCGATTTCAGGGTTTTCCCCTTCTTTAAGACAAACCCACATGTGGAACATGAAGCCTGGCAAAAGGTTTTTGTTTTTTGCCCCAAGCACATGTGCGGGGATCCCTTTTTTCGAGCCCAGCCTCATAACTTGCCGCTGGCTGATTCGGAGCGAAATGAGAAGGAGACCCGCCCGGATGGGTGTGGAAGCTAATGTTGACCCCATATAAATCATTCATAGGGGGGTGTTTCCCTCCGATAGTGATGATCCCCCACTAAACCCAGATACACCCCCCATTAATAAACCGGGGTTGACTAATATGTGGTCAACATTAATTTGCTTCGAAAGGCCACAAAGGCTCAGAGGTATCAAAGACCACTCCAGTCTGAGTCCTGCTTGACCTCGGTGAGGTTTTGAGAATTCCCCAAAACATGAAGCATCAACATGGGGCCCAAGGTTGTAAACGAGAAGCGGGTCCCAAACAAAAAAACCCAACGCATAGAACCGAAACGGCCAGATTCTTCATGCCGAGCGTCGAGTAAAATTTGTCCAAGGCATCTTCCTGCAACCGGGTCTTGCCCAGCATGTTGCTGAGCAACGTCTCGATGTTCTCCCAGAGCCAACACCAGGCCACCTCGCGAGTAAGACACCCTGCGAGCAAGGGTGAAGTACTCACCATGGAGTGAAAGGGTGACTGGAGGGTGTCATTCTTGAAGTTACATACAACATTTATCCCCACATAAAATATGCGATGAATCTAGTACACATCAAGCCAGGTGAAGCTCTTTGAACTGTGCTTGCGCAGTGAACACTAGGGGTCACCCTCTTGCTGGACCCCATTTCCGACAAATAGCAGACTGGCTTCAAGGTAGGTGGTTCGGAAACAAAAAGGAACGATATATATATATATATATATCGTATACATATATTGGGCCCCTTGGACGATGTTCAATTGGCGATGTCGCAAACAATGGCCCTGCCCCCCGCTTCCCCCCAAGAGCCGCTGGGGCAAATGATAAGAACCAGGCCGAAACATGCCGAAACCTAGTGATATCAGGTTTCCACCTATGTTTGACCGAGCTACCCTATATAGAAATATGTCCGACCAAAATATGCGCTTGAAGGGCACTTGTCCTATTTGTTCAGTGACCCTTAAAGGGCACCAAAGCAGATTCACAGACCACCATGGGAGGTTGGGTTGTCATGTGCCTCTGACGGTATGCTGCTGATGCATCCCAAGTATAGCCAAACAAAAGAAACCGCGCTATGGAAATTGGAGACCACAGCTTTCAAGCTACACCTCAAAAATTGTACTAGTACAGGCTCCGAAAAAGGAAGAATCAAAAACAAATCATGTCCTCCGAACAACAAGAGCCAAAAAACGCAAACCATGTCAAGCAACCCACTTTGGAGCTGGTCTTCGTAACGAAAAACCCGGCAGTTGAGCGCGGCCGGCCGTTTTTTGTTTGTTTTGGCGCCTCATGCTCGGAGTCCCATTGTTGCGGCAGCAGCGATCTCAAGGAGGCCAAAGTCACAGCCTTGAACTCAGACAGCTCGATGCGGCCCTTGTACTTGGCCTCGGTTTTTGCTTCCTTTTTTCTGCGCCCAAAAGGGGGGATGGGGGGAAGGGAGAGAGGGGGGGTGAAAGGTAGGGGGAAAGAAATACAGGGGCTCTAGGGCACAGTTGGAGGGGTTCTCAAAATCATTTGCTTTAGGGGTGGGAGCAATGTATACCGAGTAGAAAAACACAAATAGAATGGTGATGTCACACACAAATGCATCAAGATATAGGGGCCCAAAAGATTGGCTGGAAATTGAATTGGCGCCAGGAATGGTTGACTAGCTCTACAAGGATTCCCAACAAGAAAGGGCCCAAGACATGGTTAATGACAGGCCCACCACGGCCACCACCAACACGGGCCGCGCATCGCGGTCAAATGAGCGGAAAGCCGGCCACCTGGATTCCTTTCTGTCCGTGTCACCCACAAAGGCGATTCGGATGCCAAGTAGGGGACACTCCCCTATTAATCCATCAGTTCCTGGATCCGGCGTTAACATTATAGTATATGTTAGAGCTCGTGGCCTTCGTCTCAACATGATTTGCCATAGCAACAGAAGTCGCCAGCCGAAGGTGTTGTGTGGCCGTGCAAGGCAGCCAAACAAATGCGCAACAAGTCTGGAAGGCTAGAGTACAAGAGGTATGGCTCCAACTCGTTTGCTCAACATGCCCAGTGATTCCATTTCCCTGTAGCGTAGGGAACCAAGGGAACCAGCCTTCGAAGACCAAAAGAAAAAAAGGCTGGTTACCTCTTGGACCTTCCATTGTTACATAAATTTGTGTCACGAAAGAAAAGTGCTCGCCCAATGATCCAAAAAGTGCTCGTTCCCCAAAAAGCGCTCGTTTCGTGAACACGGGCTTCTTGGAAAATACATGTTTTGGATTTGCGCTCGTTTTGCGGGTATTTGCGCTCGTTTTGCGGGTATTTGCGCCCGTTTTGCGGGTATGTTTCACATGTTTCCACGCAACAGGCTATATGAGATGAGAGAAGCCGCCGCAGTAGCCAAAACTGCTCGAATCCAAAATTGTGCCCGTTCCCCCGAAAAACGCCCGACTAGCAAATTTATGCTACGAAACACCCAAGGGACACAAATTGATGTAACGAATGAAGGTCCAGGCTACTATATGGGTAACTGGAACCCACTGGGATGGCTGGGAAACGGGAAGGGATCACCACGAGTTCAGAGAAACAAAGGTGTGATGGTTGACCTTACCTGGCACTCGGCCAAACGTGGGCTGTTTGTTGGAAAAATAAATAAAACAAAAACAAACAAAACATAGGCAACATACCAAGAACAGGAAAGTTGACTGCTTCCTTGCCGAAGCCGTAGGGTATCCCGTTTCAGGCATCTGTAGGCTTTTATGTACAAATTAACTGTGTTGACTCATCGTGAAGCCAATTGTCGTCAAATTGTGTGACTAATTCCGCTATGTGTAAACTACACCATTTATAGCCATGTATTAGTAACTTGTTTGCACCAGCTCGCACCGGCTTGCAACTTACAGGCAAATGTTCATGCGTACAGCCGCAAATGTGCCGGCCAGCCAATCGACCGCGCTACCAGAAGATTGCCGGCACACATACACACACACACAACTTTACCTGCAAAATAAAGGGCTTGCACCTCGCCGAGCAGCCAGCACCAAAGACATCACATCAGACTCCTCTTGCATCCTGTTGAAGTTGGCCACATTCTTCACCTCAGCTCTGACTTCCCACCTCCGCCATTTGCCCTTCGAGCGCGGAGCCTAGGCGAAGAAACAAAATCGATTTTACCTGGCAAACCGAAATAAAACATGGCTTGCTCAAGGAATCGGCGAGGGGTAAAACGACAGACTATGAACACAAAGCCTACGCGAGCAAAGGCCCACCAGGATCGCCTCAAACTGCATGCAGTTCCCCTTTTTGCGTGCCCCTTTCATTCGATCGAAATCCGATGCTCAGCTGCATCTTCCCCTAGATTACGCTTTAGCAACTCGTGATGATACTCGGCGCAAGCACCGCTGGATTAACATGATCCTTTCCGTTCGCACCGAGACTCTTTGGTCTGAGTGCCCTTGCAAAAGGCAATTGAACTAACAAAAGCCGAACTGGGGCTTGGCCCCCTTGTGTGGACCGTCATTTGCGCCACCATTTTCAGGATCCAAAACCGGTCGATACTGTGAACAACATCTTGGACCAGTTAGGAGGATAATTGTCCTAGTCAAGCCGAACTGGGTTTCATCGCGTGCCAGATTCCCCTGTTTTCACTTCTTTTATCCCGTTCGGTGTTTGCTGGCTCGGAGCCAATAAATTCCACCCATAAATGGATACCCTCCCAACACCGCACCAGGCCCGCATGCCGAAACTGACTCATGTCAGAGCGCAGTATAATTTTGCACATGTCATTTGTTTACCCGGACGAATCAACCTGTCGGAATCGGCGGGGCCCCCCATCAATCTGGACTCTGGCAACGGTCTGACCTGGTTTAGGTTCAAACTGACACGTCATTTAGTCTAGGTTCTCCAGTAGAGAGGTTAGACTAAGGCGAAACCCTTTTTTCTGTAGTCCATTTTAGGGGAACCCTCCCGCACTGGAGAACCTAGTGATTTGAACTCACGGCGAATTGGCGATTCGGTCACCTGGAAGGCCAGCCATCGGTCCAAGGCGCCATGTCATCAAACTGCTGCAGCACGATATTCATCCAGCTGCTGCCACCATATCCCATGACGGAGGCGTTGAAGAGAAGCATCTCATTGAAGGTGGTTGGCACCTTCATCTCCTTGCCTCAGGGAGTCGGCGCTGGTGGTTTCACGAGGGACCCTTGCTGGGCTACGAATAAAGGCAAACCACCTGGTAAAATTTTAACATTTCGGGGACCCATTGTGGCACATGCCTTTACCTGGAGGCCCAATTCATACGGACAAACAAATAGTTTTGAACATGCTCCCCGTGTTGGAAGCGCAATTCGGCGCAACTTTGGGCGGAATTTCGCGCAGCTCGGGTGCAAAACCGCGCGCGATTTCTACAACTGCCCAAGTTCCAGTCGAACCAAGTCGCTCGCGCCCAACAACAATTTGGGACAATGTGTTGCCAAAAGGAGTCGAGCATCTAATTTCTGTATCAATCAGGCCTCCTGGTATGCGGGGCGACCCAATTTTCCGCAATGCACGAGGGGTAAACCAGAAGAGGAACAACTACTACCATCTGGCATGAGGACTCTGAAGTGATCTCTAAGCTGCTGACTCTACAGCAGCGTGCCCAAAGCATGCAAATTTAAGTAAGGAGGTGTTCCTCTATTTTGGTGGAAAAAGCCATGTTTCAAATGGGCAAAATGTATCTTTTAAGGAGCCCTGTAAAGGGGCACCCGCCTTTGAATGAGTAAAGGGGCAACCGCACCTGTACCCAGACTCACCCTACTAACTTTCATGTGCCCAAGTCTGGATTGCCCTGTGTCCATGAAAGGGCACTGGGGGGTCAAGCTCATGTTGATTGCAAAGCCAACTAAACCAAACAGTGTTGAAGCCGCTGGACATGGTTGTGGAAAATGGCTAATTCTGCGGCACCAAGTGGGCCATCCCTACTGTGGATGGACGAAATCCTGCACCACTTAAGAAACCCTGGAATGATGATTCCCCTGCAACTACCAACAAACAATGGTTTCCCATGGTTTGAAGTGGTGCGAAGTGGATTTCGTGCATCCACAGTATGACTACTGGTCGCTTTCCAGGGCAAAAACTGCTGGTATCACAGAAAGTGCCCCCCAAAAAGCCCAGCTTTCAGGAAGCATGCTGATGAAATCACTCAGCTGATGCTGTGCATGGACGAAATCCGTTCACACCAACGCCATTGTTTGTTGGTATTTACAGGTCTGGGGTTTCTTAGGTGTTGCAGGGTTTCGTCCATCCACAGCAGTATGGACCTAGTGTTCGGTGAACATATTAGGCTCAGCCCCGAGTCAGCCCGAATATTGGGGATAAGGTCAGGTGGGTCCGATTTTTAATTTTCTGGGACCAGTTGAATATGGATCAAGCTAATTACATGGAAAAACACTCCCCTCCCCCCAAAGGACCCCCTGACCTGGTTCAGGGCGTTTGGTATCCAGCTGAAATAAGGCGTCAGCCCGGCCTCCGCCCTCCTTCTCACCAGACTCCCGGCCAGCAGTGCCTTGAGTGGCGGGCGAAGCCTATGGCAGTGGTTGTCAAAACCCAGATATCATTTTGGGTGCTAGGTGAATTCACCACCCATTTTGGAACCTATTTTAGTGGGAACTCGGATGCCTGGGGGTAACTGGGATTTTGACCCATGGCCATATAGCTTTGCATTGTTAACAGAATTCCAACCCCTGAATTGAGGAATCCCAAGCAAGGGACCTTTATCAGGGTGAGCTCGTATCCCCAGGTGAGCTCGCTATATTGTTTCTTTTCACTACGGGGACTGCCCCGACTTTTTCAACAAGCCTTTTCGAAGTTTCCGATTCACCGGGGAACCGACGGACTCCACTACGTCCCCTCTTTCTCACTTTGGACAAAAAAAGCTAACGTTGCACGTCTTTGTTGCCAGTAAACTTGTTTGTTTATTTGCCCCCGAACAACAAGCCCTCCCCCAAACAACAACCCCCCACCCATTATCGAAGGGGTACCCAAAATGGTCCTCCCAAAAAGTAGAGAAAGTCCAGAAATTGAATCCAAGAGCTTTTTAAAGGCCTGTCTCGACCCTTCGTCCCAGCCTGTTCCCTCTTTGACGTTGCTCTCCTCGCGAGAGGAAGCTCCCAATCGAGGGGGGCCCCATGTTTGTTTGACCCCCACTGGTTTTTGCGCAAAGAGTCGGAACAAATAGCACCAGCATCTTTAGAGGCTGGTCTCTTTGCAAAGAGACCACCCCGCTTTTTTTCCGGGCTGTTCGTAAAAAGGGTTGGTCAATCCGAGTCGATACCTATTGGAAAACCAAGGTACTGTAAGGATAAAGAATTGCTTTCAGCAGCCCGGTTCTTTTCCAACCCCAAACCAAGAGGCAAATAGGGCGTCAGGTTGCGGTCGGCAACAGGGTTGATTTCCAACTCTGAGAAGGGTGATTGGGGGGGTGTCCCTATGTGTTGCCTTCAAAGGACTTGCTTCAGAAACCAAACACCTTTCAAGCTCGAAAATTGTTAAGGGTCGAGTCTTAATTCAGTTTTCGTTCACTCCCGGTGGCAACAACATGCACTCGTCTTGGCGCACCCGGAGACTTTGCATAATTGCTATGTACTCAAATGCATTAGAAACCATAACTTCAGCTACCCAGCCCAATCAACAAGCTGACATGCACTCGTCTTGCGCCAACAAAGACGACATCCCCGACATCTTTTTAACATGCCCAGTATCGTTGCCAGTGGGTTGCCGGTTTAAGCTTGTGTTTAGGGCTTGTTTAGGGTAAGTTTGGGTAGGTTTAGGGGGTCTTCCCTGTGGGATTGGGGTTGGTTCAGGGTTGGTCTAGGTTGGTTTGCCGGTTTAGGATAGGTTTGGGGAGGTTTGTTTAGGGTTGGTTAAAGGTGGGTTTGGAGCTTCTTTAGGGGTGGTTTAGGGTTGGTTTAGGCTTGGTTTAGGGTGGGTTTAAAGTTTCTTGATTCTTGAAGGGTCAAGGGTTGGTTTTGGGTGGGTTTAGGGTGGGTGAAGATTGGTTCGGGTGTGGTTCACGCTGGGTTTTGTTGGGTTTCGGGTCGGGCTTCGGGCTGGTTTAGGGTGCGTTTTCGGTGGTTTAGAGTTGGTTCAGGGATGGTCGGTTTCTTTAGAGATACTAAACTGATACCATCGAAACTGTATGTATATGGATGTATATGTATGTATATGTATGTATATGTATGTGTATATATGTATGTAGATATATATATATATATGTAGATATATATACATATGTTTATGTATATGTATGTACCTAAGCTAATCCTTAAATGACCAGACTTAGATTGCTGAATTAATTCCTTTCCCGGAAATGCAAAAAACCAAATGAAGCATTGGCCCGCGGAAGGGGAACCCCATTTAGACAAGGACCGTAGAACCCCGGGGGCAGAATGTACCTTATCTCAGTTGTTCAGTGACCCTGGCAAAAAAAGGGAACCCGTTTTTGGGACGGCCATTCTTAGTGGGGCAGCCACCCAAAAAAAAGAGGAAACATAATTGGTGCCACTGAACAACTGAGTTATTGACAAACTTTTACTTTGCCGCCCGAATATACTTGTTGGCGGGGGGGGGCCGTACTTATTAGCCATAAGATTGTGCCATACTGGGGGCTCCCAAGGAGACTTTCTGCAACCTCTTTCCACTTTGGGTTTCCAGAAAGGATTCCCGGATCATCTTGCGACCCCTCCACTTGCATGATTGGAAGGCTATCTTGGCCTCAACCTGAGTACGCAAAAAGACACCACCTCTCCAGCAGGTATATATTCATCCTCAATATTGAAAAGGAACGTCCTCCCTGTGCATTTACGGGTGGGGATGGGGTGGGGTTGGAACTGCCATTTTGTACAGAATTGGGGATCGGCTAAAAAGGCTACAAAAACGACAAGGGGTACGAGGGAAGCCGCCGAAATGATTGCGCTGCGAGGAGGATCTTTTGCGCTTGCCAAGTCGTGACTAAACAATGTAACTTGAAGCTAGGGATGTCGTTGCACCAATGCTCCGAACGGCATGGTCGCTCATTTTGCAGGGAAATGCATGACATGAACATAGCTTCAACAGGGCTCTCGTAACAAGGCTCAGCAGGCTGTGAAGCAAAAATCGATTCAACCAAGCCCCATCCCTACAGGACCCAACCCTTCAGCATGACCCTCAATATTATGCGAAAACTCGCCTCTACAAAATGAGGCTGTCTTTTGCTCAATCCATTTGGTCCTACAAAATTGGCTTTCGACAAATGGGTGGTACCCGACCCGACCGGCTTAACCTCACCCAATTCGGAAGTGAGTTAATGTTGACCCAGGATTAATAAACCCGTCCCTAACGTTCCCTTCGAAAGTGATGAATCCCCACTAAAAGGGGACACCTCCCTATTAATCAATCAAGGGTTTATTCATCCGGGGTTGACATTACGCAGGCTTACGAAGTACCCGATATCGCCCCAAGTCGTCCGTCCTCCACGATCGCCTCCTCGACCTGCACCTCCTCGCCTGTCTCCTCCCCTCCCTCTCCTTCCGCAGCCACTCCCTGCGCTCCGAACGAGTCAGATCCATCGGCCCGTCTATGAAGCGAATCATTTTTGTGGTGTGGTTGATGGTATGTCGAATTATTTGCTTCATAGACAACCACCAACCAACCAACCACACCACAAAACCAGGCACCATTTCATGCCCCAAATATTCATTAAGTATACCAACCCCACCGAAAAACCGTGCAAAATAGATACGGCGTAGAACAAGAGGATGTCTTATTTGGGTAAACTATGATCAGAGCCTGCCCAATGAAAGGGCAAGGGGCGCCACTGAACAAATTGACAGAAACATACTGCCTCCTCGTAACAAACAGCTAGTCACTGTTAACCCTGGTTTACGGTTGTCTTGCCCTTGGGCGAGTGACATACGCTATTGGAAGCTAAGTCGGTCAGAATCATGGTCTCATGGCAGTGAAAAACGATCTTTTCCGTTCTTCCCCAACAGTTTAAAGTCCAGGACCTCAAGAAGTCAGCAACATGTTTCAAATGTTTCACCAGGGTGAGTCACAAACAAAATGGAACAAAAATGGTGAACCCAGAACCATGTAAAGAATAAGAAAGGCGGCCGCAACTATTTCCGGCTGGGACTGCCCCTTACTAACCTTCATCTACCCGGGTTTTGATTGTGGCTCAGGTGTCCAAACCAGCGCTTTGCTTTCAGGAAAGGGATGCTGGTCGCAGGCATCCTTCCAACCTTAAGCGCATGGCCACTTATTTTCAACCGATGGACCTGTCGCCCCTCCAAATTCCTATGAAGCAAACGCGTGGTTTTTTTCAGATAATGGTTTTTCAGATTATGTTCCATACTTAGTCTCAAATACAAAGCAACATACCCCGGGTATGCGGCTCTTCGCAAGGCAAGCGTCTTCCTGGGCTTCCGGGGCATTGCTCTTCTGCACCACAGCCCAGCTGTTGAGGATGATCTTGATCCGTCCTCGTGGGGTAGTTGGCGAAATGGGTGAGTGGGGTGTGAGTCAGAATCACCTGATGTGTCAAAAGGGATCCCCGAAGTGGTCGGAAACCCGTCTTTCGGGCGGCAAAAACAAACCGCCAAGACTACAGCAACCCCCCCTCTAACCACCTGCGAAAGGGAACCAACACAATCTGAAGGCGATCCCCAAGGATCTTTACCATGGTAACGGTTTGCCCCCCGAGCTAATGCCCCAAGTTTGCAAACGGC